CTGCCCCTTCCCCAAGGGGGGCTTTCCCCAGAAAATCCTGTGGGAAATGCAGACCATGGGATTCTGTGTGTAAAGCAGCAGAGGGCTGGGGCTGGGGATGAGGATGAGGATGGAGCAAGGCCAGGGCTGGGGCTGGGCTGGCAGTGGTGCTTCCTCCCTCCAGACCAGCGGCTTTTCCGACCCCCTCCAGAGAGGAACACCAGTACTTGTCCAGCCTGGGGTTGCTTTTCTTTTCCTCAGCCTAAAAAAATGACCAGGGTCTATGAAAATAAGAGTGTTGTTTTTAAATTTTGTGAGGCCAAGAGGACAAACCTGTTAATAGGAGGGGCATTCCTCCTCCTCTTCCTCTCTCCATCTGCAGGCCCTGCCACTGCTCCCAACAGGAGGTTTTCCAGCCCCAGCTCTGCAGTCACAGGGCAGTGTGGTGCTCCCAGTGGCTCCTGTTCCCACTGGCAATGTTGGACCTCAGTCCTCACGGTCCTCAGTCCTTGAGAAGCCCCTCACAGCCAGGGACATCCATGGCCACATTGCCCAGAGACGTCACCCATGGCTTTGGCCCCATGCTCAGCCCCAGTTTCAGCAGGCTGTGGGGAGAGCTGCTCCCCCAGGACCCCCTCACTCCCCTCCCCTTGTATTTACCCGAATGTGTTTACAATTACAGGGGATGCCAGGGAAGGCAGAGCGCCGTGGCCAGCGAGTCAGCGTCGGGGCAGTGCGGGCTGGAGGTCAGCACTCTGTTTACTTTAATTTCTCTGAGAGCTTTTTGGGAGATTTCCCTCCTCCATTATTAAACTCAGATGAGCCGCTGGGGAGGTTAGCTCGCATGTGGTTCAGGGTACTTTTTTTCTTTTGTAATTTTTTTTTTTTTTTTCATATTTGCAATGTTTCACCCTTAACTCTTTCAGGACAAGCTGCCCATCTCAGCACTGGGATACCAAGATGGGCCCATGAGTGGGATGGTGGCTCCTGGGTGAGCTGTGACCTGGAGTGATCAAGGCTTGAAGATACCATCATGAGTCTACCTGAGCATCACTGAGAGTTTTAGGTTGGATACCAGGAAAAAGTTCTATCCCCAGAAGGTGCTGGAGCACTGAAGAGGCTTCCCAGGGAATGGTCACAGCCCCAAGGCTGCCAGAGCTCCAGGAGCATTTGGACAATGCTCTCAGGGACGTGGTGGGATGATCAGGGTGTTTCTGTGCAGAGGGCACGGGGGCTGTAGGCAGAACCTGAGCAGCAGCAGCACCTGCACTCACCTTGAGCAGGAGCAAGGCCGAGCATGCCCAGCTCATTTTGCACCGGGTGGCTCCAAACTCTGCTGCCTCCTCCCCAGCAGAGGGGCTGGGACTGGCCAGGGCTGTGACACGGGGCTGATGTCCTGCGGGCACGGGGCCAGGTGCCAGGGCTCCTTCTGGGAACAATTTGGTTCAAAGCCCGTGGCACTGCAGCAGCGAGCAGGACACACAGCAGAGGAGAAGCAGACGGCAGGATGAGAGCAGGGAGTGGGAGCTGGGCCCTGGTGTTGGAGGATGAATTCCACCATGGCCAGTGCCAGGCTGCCATCTCTGGCACCTCCCTCTGATGGCAGCAGGTCCCTGCTGCTGCAAGGTCACAGAGGCCCCCCAGCCAGGACAGGGAAGGGCACAGCATCTGGGAGCACTGGGAATGGGGCACTGGGAATGGGACACTGGGAATGGCACTGGGAGCACTGGGAATGGCACTGGGAATGGCCCTGGTGGGGTAACTGGTGCCAGTGCATCCTGGAGGAGCTCCAGTGGGTCACCCCAGCACCCTTGTTCTTTCCAAGCCCAGGATCTCCAGCTCCAAAACCCCAGCGCATCAAGTCCTGTGCTCAGCCTTCTTAAATTATTTTTAATTTCCTGGAGGGAGAGCTTTTAATTTATTTCTGGAACAAAGTGGTGGAAGGGGAGGGGAAAATGACTCTGAAGTCCATCACTAAGCCCCCTCCACTTCCAAACACTCCCTTTCCCACTGTCCTGAAAGGACCAGCCCAGCCCTCCCTGAGTCACCAGGTCCCCTCTGTCCTGTGCCCCAAGCTGGGATTTCTGCTCTGGGGTTCCCACAGTGTCCCCACAGGCAGGTCCTTGCGGAAAGGGACAGCTGGGCCTGGGGGAACACTGGCTTGCAGAAGAATGGAACTGTTTTCACAGGAAGCAGCAAATCCTGCTGGTCTCCATCAGACACAGACAATCCCAGGAGCCAGGCTGAACCTGAGCTGCACCAGTACAAAATCCCAGTGAGACAGACCCCTAAAAACACTGCTTCTGGATCCCTCTGTCAACCCAGAACTTCCCTGGCTCCCACCACGGTTGGCACTTGGGGGAGGAACCCCAAACCCCCAAAGCAGTGGAGGCGGAGGCAGGGCAGCAGGTTTGCAGCAGGCTCCAGCACGCTGGCACCCCGGGGGATGTGTGCATCCCGTGGGCATTCCTGGCGTGGGGACAAGCAGAGCTGAGAGAGGAGCAAACCCTGTTCTGCCCTGGAGCCAAACTCCAGTGCCACCCATGGTTTTCTGTGCTGTTGGAACCTAAACCAGAGACGGAAAAGGGCTGTTTGGGATGTGCCTCTTGGTACACTGGGGGAGAAGGTCCCCGAATGGATGAAAATTCCCTCTGTGCTCTCAGTGATGAAAATTTCTCTCAGTTTGAGTTCAGACCATGATGGGAGTGAAGCCCAGAGCAGCAGGTTTGATGGCAAAGGCTGAGCTGAGCCCATTGTGTGCCCAAACTCCTCTTTCTGTCCTGCCCATTCCAGATGCCTGAGTCAGCTCCTGCCTTTCCTGTGTGACAGGAAGGGTTTGTTCCTTTAATCCTAGGCTTCCCTTGGCTCTGCAGTCCAAGTGTCCCAGTTACAGCTCTTGGTCCTGCCCCTCTAACTGCTCCTCCATGGAGCTGCTGAAGCCTTTGGAGCAGCCAGGAGCAGGAGAGGCTGTCAAGGGGTCTGTCAGGCAGATGAGAAATTAAACCAAATTATTTATCACTCACATATTCCATTGCTCCAAACCCTCACCACGTCATGGGGGAACATCTGCTCCCAACATCCCACCTCCAGCAATTGAGAGCTTTCAAAAGGATCTTTGTCCATCCTGAAAGCACCTCCATCGCTCCTTCCTGCCCCTCGGGGCAGGTGAGCGGGTTTGGGCTGGGTTTAGGCTGGGTTTAGGCTGTGTTTGGGCTGTGCAAGGTGCTCTGCTCGTGCCGTGTCTATCCCAGAGCTCGCACAGGATGCCAGGGAATCATCATCGGGTGATCCGGCAGGAGATGGGACCATCCCCGCCCGGAGCAGCTCTGTGGGTGATTGAGGAGTAAGTGGCTGCCCCCACCGCGGCTGCCAGCCCCACAAAGCTCCTTTATCTCCCGAGACGTTCCCGGTGCTTCATGTGACCCCCGCGCCGGTCGGGGGCTCGTGGGAACCGTTTGATGTTCCCGAGCCTTTTCCTTTCCCAGTGCGGACACGCCGGCTCCGGGCGAGGGGAATAAAGAACCCACTGAGCACTCAGCTCCGTCCCCATCCCCACGGGGACCTGCTGAGGCTCACGGGACCCACGGGCCGGTGGGAAGGAGCCGGAGTGTCCCAATGCGGCCACCCCGCCCGTGTCGGGGAGCTCCCACCAGCACCCACCCAGCTCCTTCTCCCTGACACGGGTGGGAGTTTTCCCCTTTCCCGTGGAGGAAACGGTGGAAGTTTCTGGAGGGATGCTGCGTGTGAACAGGGATATCCCATAGGGATACACGCAGTCAGGGCAGCCGGGGGCGGGCGGCAGCGGGGGGCACCGGGCAGGACCGGGCTGCCCCGAGAGCCCGGTCACCCCCCAGAGCATCCTCGTTCTCCCCAAGCATCCCTGTCCCCGCCCCAGCATCCTTGTCCCCCCCAGCATTCCTGTGTCCCCCCAGCATCCCTGTCCCCCGCGGCCGAGGCAGGGCTGACCGGGGCGGTGAGTATTCGGGCCGGGCGGGCGGTGGGAGCGGAGCGGCGGCTCCGGGGGTCGCGGCTCGCCCCTGGCCGGGTGCGGGTTCAGGGGGGCTCTGCGGGGGCTCTGCGGGGGCAGCGGGACCCTCCAGCGGGGCTGGTGTCCCGGAGGCTCCTGGGGGGCTCCTGGGGGGCTCCTGAGGGGCTCCTGGGGGGCTCTGCGGGCAGGGATGCTCCCCGGCTCGGCTCGGCATCCCCCGGCAGAGCAGCCCGGCCCCGCTCCGGGGGGTGCAGCTGCTCTCTGGGGTGCAGCGGCGTTCTGGGGGTGTCACCAGCCTGACCGAGCAGATGTCACTGCGGGGGGCTGCGGGGCGGGGGTCCCGGGGTTCCAGGCCTCTGGCAGCACCTTGGGCTCCTGCACCCCTGCTGGTGCCCCGCTGCTGGCCGGGGTCAGACCGGGACGCGCGATGGGTTCCTTCCTGCGAGTCCTGTGAGGATTCCTTGTAGGAGAGGGCTTGGAGAGCGCCTCTCTGTGCCGGTGACCCGGCAAGGAAGGCTGGAATAACCTTGTCTTTTCTGGGCCAGTCTGTTCCCAGTGCTGCAGAGGAGGAAGGCCAGTGGGGTCACCAGTGTGGGCACAGGCAGAGGGCAGCCCCCCACCCTGAGGCAGGGCTGGTGACAGAGGTTGTGCAGAGGAGCCCGGGCAGTCTCACCTGCTGAAAGACATTTATTGCTGTTGGGAAAGCAGCTCCTTCCAAGCGCACCTTTACCAGCATGGAATTAATTGCATCAGCCACAGCCCAAATGCTGCCAGCAGCATGTGCAGCTGCGTGCCTGAGCCTCGTGAAGCCCTTTGGCATCACCTGAGGGATGCTGCAGGAACATGGGCTTGGACTGGAGCTCTCAGGGAAGACAGCTGGGATAGGAAGTGGCTCCTTGAGCTTCTGCATCAGGTGGGAAGATGCCCTTGGATGGGCGGCACACTTGCCTATGGCAGGGGGTGGGAACTAAATGAGCTTTAACATCTCTTCCAACCCAATCCATTCCCTGATTCCATGATGTTGCACGGCACCATGCTGAGAGCAGCACTCAGACACCCAGGAACACTGACCCCATGGTAGGTCCAGTGCCTTTAAAGAGGTAAATAAAGTAATGAGTGTGTTTTTCCCCACTCTGGTTGTGCCAGCCCCGGTGCCCACAGGCGTGTGACGGCTCCGTGTCTCTCTTGCAGGCAGGACACCGGCGAGATGTTTGCTCTCTGCCCGGCAAACGCCCCATTCCGGCAGGGCCGGGGGGGCCCAGCGCTGGGCACGGCCCTCCCAGGGGCGGGACATGGGCCGGACTCCAACTCCAACTTCGTGGGAGAGGTGTGTGACAGCAACGAGAACTGGAGCCAGCCAGCGCCGGGGTCCCTGCCGGAGGAAGGCTCCAGCCGGAGCGAAAACACCACAAATCCCTCTGATAATCTGCTGTTATTAATGCAGAGACAGATGGTCCAGGGCCGGCTTAGGGACACCCCCCCGGGCCTGGGTGACACCCACCCCGAGCAGGGGGTGCGCAGCCCCCCCGAGGGAGCCGAGGTCAGCGGGGCAGGGGGACAAAACGCTGCCGAGGAGGCGGCCGGGGGGTGCGTGAAGCCCCCCGGCTCCCCTGCGGAGGACAACGGCTACGCCAGCAGCTCCCTCAGCATCGATAGCCCCGACAGCACCTGCAGCACCACCTGGGACCCTCCTGCCTCTGCCCCCCGAGCCGAGAGCCCCCCTGAGGCAGGGCTGGCTGAGCCTGAGCTGGGCACCCTCTTCCCGGCGCTGGCGGAGGCCGTGCAGCACCTGCAGGACAAGGAGCGCTTCAAGGAGCAGGAGAAGGAGAAGCACCACATCCAGCTGGTGATGTACCGGCGCCTGGCCCTGCTGCGCTGGATCCACGGCCTGCAGCAGAAGGTTGTGGACCAGCAGAACCGGCTGCAGGAGAGTTTCGACACCATCCTGGATAACCGCAAGGAGCTCATCCGCTGCATGCAGCAGGGCCCAGCCTGCGTCGCTGCTGCTGCTGCTGCCCCTGGCCCCTGAGGTGCCACCAGCGCAGCCCAGCCCAGCCCTCACCCTCTGGATGGTGTGGTGTTGGCATCTCCATCCTGTGCCAAGCGCTCACCGGAGCCCTGGGTGCCCACCCTGCCCTTCCCATCTGTCTCCAACGCAGCCAAGAGTCCCTGAAGAGTTCATCTCCATCATCCTCTGCACTGGAATTTGCTTTGTCCTGCACAGGTCTGAGGTGGCACTGGGCTGGGTCCTCCTCAGGACTGTGGGGTTTGCTGAGCCCGAGGTGACCAGGCTCATCTTTAAACCTGATCTAGTCCATTGTTGGGCCTGGCTTAGCCACGCCAGTGCCGGGATGGCCGTGCTGGAGCTGCAGGGCAGTGAGGGCCCCAGGGCAGTGAAGCTTCTAAACTTCCCTGGGCAAAGCACTTCCAGCATGTCCCCACATCCTACCTGCACCAGTGAGTCCCTGCAGCCACAGCCCAGCCCCTGGTAAACATTGCTTGTTGGTGAGAGTGAGGTGTCCTGGGCTGTAAAAGAGAAAAAAATAATTCTGAAAAGTGACCTCAGAATGCTGGGAAGTAAATTTATGTCAAATGATCCAACACAATGTATGTTTTTAATGTCAGTATTAGAGGAAAGTTAGTTTAGGTTTATGTGTGTGTGCATGTCTGTCTGCTATGGGCAATGCTCTCAGTGCATGATCCCAAAGCTGCTCGTGAACTTGTGGTGTTGGTGTTTATATTAATTTATCATTTGGGAGCAAAAAGATTTCTTCTTTTGAATCTGTATTTTATCCAGTGAGAGCTGTACACAGAACCCAAAGAGCAATTGTCTTACCTGGAGATGGAAAAGGAGCTGCTGTGTGTGTTTGCTGTGCTTTGCTGTGCATCCCTAGGACACACATTCCATTTGAGTGCTGACGTGCAGGAGCAGCAGTGGGCAGTGAGGGCTCAGCCAGAGGGGTCTGCACTCCCAGTCCTGCCCTGGTTGCCAAGCAAAGCCGGGCACTGACTCCATTTCTCATCTGCAAAGGAAGGTGATGAGGGATTCCAGAGATTCCTCCCAGCCAAACTGCTGCCTGCCAGCAGAGGAGCCACTTCACCAGGAGCCCAGGGAGCAGCAGAACCTGGCAGCCTGGTCAGATCCTGGCACCCACCAGATGCTCCTGGACTGAACAACTGTGGCCAAGCCCACCAGTGCCCCAGGGGCAGCACCAGCCTCCTCCTGCCCCTCCTGGGGCACAGCCAGGCTCTGCTGCTCCTGGGGCTGCTGCCCAGGTGAAGTGAGGAAATCTACAAAAATCCTCTTCCAGAAAGGACATTTTGGTGGCAAGGGGTGCACTCAGCTCACAGCAACCTGTGCCAGTGCTGGAGGATTCTGGAAACTTCCAGCAAGGCTCGTGCTGCCCTCACCTCCCTCCTTCTCGCTCGTGTCCAGCGCCTGCTGCCTCTGTCGTGTCCCAGACCTGTGATCGTGGGCATGTTGCACATCTTAATAAAAGCCTTGGAGCTGAAGGAGCTGAGCCCCAGCTGGATTTGTTCCTTTCTTTCCCTTCCCAAGGCTGCGGGGCTGGGAGCAGCCACGCCGTGCTCGGAGCGTGGGCAGGTGGAGCTTGGGCAGGTGGAGGGCACAGGTGTTGGCACCTTCCTGCCATCCCTGCATCCCTGGGCATGCTGCCCTGCTGGGCAGCGCTGGCAGCTCATCCAGGCTCAATTTTTACAGGTTTTTTTTAAGCCCCGGTGTGTGTTGCTCCTCCCCTCTCTCCCGTGGGGCAGCCGGGCTGCGCTCGGAGTGCAGGATTCACCTTCTGCCCCGGGAGAACGCGGCTGGAACCGGGGGGACCGGATTCCCGGATTGCTGGCACCCTGCCCTGCGGCCCTGCTCGTGGGGAGGGCTGGGGGCAGCTCCGGGTGATGGGGGTGGCAGATAACAACACCTGAGTGTTGACCCAAAGGTGACTTTGCCTCAGGCTTCACAGAGATTAACTAGAGATGAAAAACCGAGGCTGTAGCAGCCCTTTGAACCCTCTCTCACCTTTCCCCCCACCCCTTCCTGCTTCTCCTTTCCAGCCTCTGAGTCTGTGGGAATCCAGGGATGCAATTCAGGGATCCATGTACAGACACAGCAAGGCATGAAGGGCAGAGTGGCCACATTTTTCCATCTTTATCCATGCTGGGAAGTTTGTCCAAGCCCTCAGGGGTTCCACAGGATGTGGGGTGCTCCTCGCTGAGCCCATTTCTCACCTCATCCACTTCCCATGCAGCCCATGCTCCCTCAGGTTTGGGGGAACATGAGCCCTCCCAGCCCTGCAGTGAGACTGAGAGATTCTCTGTTTATCTTGGTCAAATGCATTACACAAATAATTATTTCCAAGGTAAATATTGTGAAAATCCAGATTATTTGCTCAAGAAATGAAAGAATAACTGAGGGAGCACATCAAAGAGGTGGATCTGCTCTGGCAACAAGAGGCTTCCTCCCTGGTTATTGGGAGCCTGATGCTCCTGCCCCAGGACCTGGCTGGAGATGGCCAGAACTGATTTGCAAAATCAACTTCAGACAGAGCTTTTCCACCCCCAGCTCCCGTGCCCCAAATGAGATTTGGGAGTTCATTAAAAACCCGACCAATTGCGGGGGGGAAAAACAATAAAGACACAAAAACGCTGCAGGCTTGAGCCCAGGCCAGCTTGGAGGGGGAAGGGTCCCACCCCCCAAGGAAAATCTGACATCCCCAGGACAACCTGACCTTGCAGGGGCAGGGTCCCATCCCCAGGACACTGTGACCCTGCATGCCCTGGTCAGCCCCTGTGGGTGCAGTTCAGGTGGGATGGGTGCCCCAGGCAGGCTCCAGCACGGGGCTGGGACAGGGATGTGACCCAGGACTCCCTGCCAGGGCTTTCCCCATCCTCAGGGATTGCCAAACCTCCGTAAAGGGGCTGAATTCTCACCTCACAGAGGGATTAACTTGGCTTTCCAGCCCCAAACACCCCCAGGTCGGTGGGAATGGCGGCAGCAGCAGGGTCTGGATGCAGCCACTGCTCTGAGCAGAAACCTGGAGCCACGTTGGGGCTCCCCCCAGCACTGGGGGATCTGAGCTGTGGACCCTACAGCATCCAAGTCTGAATTCCCATGCCTGACCCACGGCCCCTCTGGTTTTAAGGCCTCCTCTGAAAGTTTATTATTACTATTATATCAAATCCCTGTGACGCTGGGCCAGTTTTACTGCACAAAGCAGGGTTTGGCAAACGTTGCCTTGCTTTGAAAGTTAAAATAATGGCACTCAACCAAAATCAAGTATTTGTGAAGCTTTGGAGGGAAATATTTTACCTTGTAATTGGAATCCACTCTAACCCTTTCCAGTATTTTATGGGCTTAAAAAAAGACTTTAAAAATAAAATCGTATGATGTGATAACTGATGCAACGAAAGTACAAAAGAAAATTAATCATCTCAGGCCATTATCCAGAGATCCAGGCTGGGACACACTTAAAGCATCCCAGGATCCCTTGTTTATTGTGTCTCAGACTTCCAGATCCCACATGTTTGGTTTGCAGAGGGAAAAGGGCTTTCCCTGCTCTCAGCTGGGAAGGTGAGCACAGCCAGAGTTGCTCCCCTCACCCCAAATGTCACATCCAGGCAGCACCCAGTGTGCTGAGGGGTCCCACACCCCGTGTGCCACTGTCACCATCCTTCCCAGGCTGCTCCCTGGGGCATGGAGGAGTGAGGCTGCCCGGAGAGATGAGCTCAGCCCTTATAGGATCCATATGTGCCACCGTGCTGGGAGCACCTGCCACTGCCTGAGGGGTCCAGGAGGGTGGTGGGGAGCAGGGGGGGCTCTGTCCTGCTGCTTCAGTCTCTCCACAGAGAGATCCTCCTTTTCCCCGCAGCCCTGGGCAAGTGGCACTGACCAGTGGGAACTGAAGGCAAATCCTGGGAGTTCATGTGTGGGCCTGAGCCTTGGTGCATCCCTCCTGTTCCAGCAGCATCCACCGGGACAGAAGCACCATTCACAGGATTTTTCAGGCTATTCTCACTCCCTGATGCTTTATATTTCATTTTAACTGCCTCGCACTGGCAGAATAAATACAGAAGAAATACAGTCACCTCCTGCTTGAAACAGAGCAGAGCAGCACCAGTGCCAAGAGCTCGGGCTGGACAAGGTGGGAGGCAGGATTTGGAATACCAGGATCTTCCCCCCACCTTGCACTGCTGAGGTGTCAGGACACATTGCAAACCCTGATGCCCTTCCAGGGTATTTCTAAAACCTTGGAACGTGTTAAAACCTGGCCATCATCCCAGCCTGATCACTAAACATGAACCTGGAGCACCACAGGCAGAACTGGACCACGCTGGGATGTGAGCAGCAGAGCCCGGCTCAGTGTGAGCATCCTCACCTTGGATGGTTCGTTTTCCAGGACCCCTTTCCTGCTCGTCCTTTCCAGGGGCGTTGGGATGGGCGGGACCCCGAGCGCCGGGCTCTGCCGCGGTATCTGATGGAAACGCAGTTTGAGCCTCCCTTCTTTAATGATTCCCTTTGAAATGTTGTTGCTTCCGCACATCCCCCTTCGGGGTAGAATATTAAGCAAGAGCAACTCGGCTGGAAATTCAGATTGTTTTTGTGTCTGTTTTCATTTACATTTTAATGACAGAGGAATTGTAGCAATCGAAGCAATCAGGCTGTTTGCAGCAGGGCCAGGGAAAGGGGCAAAAAATCACCTGCCACCGCCTCACCTTTGCCCTCTGTAAACAGCACCAGGAGCTAGGAATCACCACCAGGAGCTAGGAATCACCAGCTTTTGGCATGAAGGGGTTCTTTTCCCCTTTCTCCTGCCCAGGCAGGTGGGATTTAAGCCAGAAATGGGCTCTTGGACCCCTGCAGGGGCTTTGCCCAGGTGCAGCATTGAGACACAGGAGCACTGGGAGTTTGGGACTGGGGAAGGGGATGTGGTGTGAAGGAGTGAGCACATGGGTGCTGTCCATTTGGGATGGCTGGGTGCTGAGGCCAAGGCTGCTGGTGCTGCTCCAGGAGCTCACTGCACCTGCAGGACGAGGGGAAAAGGGCTCCCAGACATCACCCTCTGCTTTGGACAGCGGTGGGGCAGGATTTCCCCTGTGAGAGCAGAGCCCTGTCCCAGGAACCAGCACCTCAGTGCCCAGGAACCAACTCAGTGCCTCAGCAGCAGCTC